GTTAACAATCTTTTCCTCCAACTTATTATTTTAGATTTTAACATTTTCAGTTTGTCACCGTCTATTTATTGATTGTGTTTTTTGTTGCCTGCGCTGACTGACTAGCTGACTGATTTTCAGTGTAGAATTTTTGTGCAGAAGTGTAGCAGTTCCCGTTGACACACTCCATGTAGCACACTAAAGTGGAGAAAAAAGAAATTGAAAAGAACTACAATTAGATAGGTGGAGGCAATCGGCCTCAGGAAGCTTTGCTTGACCTAGGTTTCGTGCTAGTTGGCACTCACCAGTCAGCAAGGCGTATCTGCAACCTTGAAGGGATTCATGTCCCTGACTGATAGAATTCAGCCTGCACCAAAGAAATTACTAGACACATCACACTAGTTACTAGTGTCAAATCAAAATACCCACTACAGTCCTACAGGAGGTCGATAACGAGCCCGAATAGATCAGTGGTAACTTCTCAAACTGCAGCACTGGTTGACACGGGTTCGAATCTCAGAATGGACATGAATTCCTTCAGAGTTGCAGATACACCTGCCTTGCTGACTGGTGAGTGCCAACTAGCACGAAACGTGAATCGAGCAAAGGCTTCCTGAGGCCGATTACCTCCAACCATCTGATATCATCAAATCAATGTGCACCGTGATGGCGAGCTACCTAGTGGCATGGTGGCCACATTGCAAACCTGACTGATAAGATTCAATCTACACCAAACAAAGGAATAAACAGATCGCACTAGTTACTAGTGTCCAATTAAAACGACTACAATTATCAGAAATGTACGTGAGAAAGAATAGTAGTATCGCAATTATTATAATTTAATGGATAAAAAAGGTTACGACAAATGAATTCATCCCCTTCATCGGAAACGGTTTTGGGCTATATCATCAAAAGTTTCAAGCTTCTTACTTTTGGCGTCTCGACTACTTCCAGCTGACAGTTTACATCTTCCTAGATGGCTCAGACCAACGGTCAAAGATTTCAGTGAATTAATGCCGGGTCATGCCTAACTGCTATCTCATATAACACCACTATTTTTTTAGGTTTATAATCTTACGCATGTCAGTCAGACTCTATTTTCTTAGGATTTCGGGCTCCGGTATACCAAATAACTCCTATCCACTACTTAGGACTATATATATATATGGCCGTAGATTTATTGTATATTGTTAGACGGTGTATGTTATCCAGCGACTCATCTAAGCCAAAGAACTCAGTGTTCAATGAGATATGTCCCAGTGGCTAAACAGTCAGCGAGTTGGCCTCATGGCCACTGGCTTTGTCACCGGTAAAGTCATGGATACGTACTTCTGAAGAGTCTCAAATTATCCAGTGCTTACTGGTTTCCAATTATTCTCTGGCTTATGTTAGTTTTTGACGAAATCTACGTTCAAATGAATTCAAATCCGTACAAAAACCATAATCTAAATCTACTTAGTGCTATACTAGGTCTAATGTTTGTTCTGAATTTGTACGGTGATGTCACAGAAATACTGGAGAACGCCTTTTTCAAGTGTAAGTTTGCAAGAATTTGATTCGTTACAGGTTTGCTGACGAGTTGACATCCGTTAAAGAACCACTGGGAGACCCAGAAGTACAGGATAACTTTCGCCCTTGTTTGAGATCCCTAAGCAGCACGCATCCACTAAGGTTCGAACTCAGGACTTTCCTGTCACAAGACGAGCTCGTAGACCATTGAGCCACTGGGACCCGATACAATGGCCAGCCGATAATCTCCAACTTCTGCCAATTCCCGATATATATAGCGCAATGGACACCCGATGTCATAAATGATTGACTGTTCCCTTATCAGACTTAGGGGGGTCCCACTGCTTACGACTTCTCACCTTCTGTAGCCGATCCCTTTAAACCAACACTTGATAATTAATCTGATGCTCACCAGCGACTGGCTCTATACAGGAAGTTACCTGGAATTCTGGAGGTCTAATAGGAAAATGGTAACCAGAAGAGTCCACTAAGTCAGGTAAGAAAGCAGTTACTGGCCAATGACAATGGTTGGCGGCTGGGCTATATATATAAAAGCTGGATGGTGGTTATATACTACCGGTTGACTGATATAAGTAGCTGGAAAGAACCCACATCAACAATTAGTATTTTGGTAGCCAAATTGGAAAATATTTAATACTTTATTTGTGATAAATGTAAAATCTACGTTATTTTACTCCACCTCTAGTGTTCAATGTTCAATTGAACTTCATTAGATTTAAAATAATACGCTACAAATAGTGTACAAAGTTAAGTTAAGCACTGAAGTGAAATATACAGCAAGAATGAATTGAATATTATTTTTACAATTTCCAGATGTGATTTGCATTTTTATTTTTGAAATGTACTTTTAATATGAAAACAAAACACAGAATAAATCAAGGTTGTCTCAAAACTTGTTTTATTGTTATTTCTTTTGCTCTTTCTTTCTTTCTTTCAAAAAATGATTTTTGTTTTAAACGATTGGAATTTATATGCGTGTTTTATTATTTTTTGTTTATGAGATCTATTTTATTTTTCATATACATACCACCAGATAATTAGACAGATGACCAGAAATGAATGAATGAATGAATGACTGTGACGTCAAGTTTGAAGTATAAGAATAATGAGTGGAACAAATATAAATCTGAGTGTATCAGTGGCAACTTCTAGCGTGTATTAATTAATACGGGTTATATAATGCCAGTAGAGATGACTGTATATTATGCACACCTACAAATTTGATTTAGTGTCAACAGGATACGAGTAAAAATAAAACCAACCTGATGAAATAGGCTAAATGTAGAGTAGTTGTGTAACGATAGAAGACAAGGGCAAGGAAACAGATCGTTTATTGAGAAAATCAAGAGATATTTTAATAGATTTTTATGTACATTATTACTAGCGTTATTGTTAGTAAAGAAGCAACCTCTTCTGATTGGTTTTTTTTCTTGCTGAAGGTTATTTTGTACTGCTTGTGACCGGTTTCTCGGAAAGTTAAGCCATATATCTGTGAATCGTATTTGCACACGTTAAATCTGCTGTGACTGGTTGTTGACTTTTGATATGCATCCACATATATATATGTGTGTATGGTGATCTCTCTTTCTGTTTGCTCTCTTAGTCCGTGACCATTTCACTTTGATGAACCTGTCTCCTTTAACAATGTATATTCCCCTTATATTATATATAATATAATATGAGTGTTTGTTGACAGTCCGTTGCTTGGTGACATATATCCATATATGCTGGTTGTTGACATATCTGCTATATTTTGCTATGTATATTTGGATCGACACTCCATTATAATTAGCCATTCATGTTAAGGCTGTCTATTGATTGTTCACACACTTGTCTGGGTGGTCATATATATTTCGCTCACACAATCTTGTGTGACTTACTTACTTTGGTGTGATACCACTTTTGCATTCTCCTTGTGTTTGGAAAATAGAAGTATCATCGCAAACCTAGTGGTCTTCTGATTTCCGCCTTCTTGCGTCAGGACTATTAAATTCTCGACCAGTACATAACAATAATTTAGCGACGAGTACATAACAAGTTTCTCAAGATTAATCTTTGTTATTGCTTTTTGTCATGACCTCGATTCGGGGCGTAACACTGACGTAAATTGCTGTGTACAATTTTTGGCTTGTTTGCAGCCAGCTCTCACTCACCACAATAAATGTATCCTAAAATCATTTTTCTTTAGATTACAATAAAATTTTCAAGAGTTGGTTTGTGTTTTTCTACCAGTTTGACCACGGATTGATATCAGTTAGAGAAGCATTGAAAACCAACCACAGGGATTAATGGACAGCTGCTGTTTCATCCTAGTTTGGAAATCATTGGCAATACGCACTCACTGGGGTCTCCAATAATAATAATAATAATAATTACAAAAAATAGAAGATCAATTTCTACTTGAAAGTGTGACAACTGCAATCAGTGCGACCGATGGGAACGCCTGTTGTAGTTCAGTGGTAGACCACTTACCGACCAACCAAGTGATTTGGGTTCCATTCGCAGCTGATTAACCTCCTAAACCTCACGTATTTAGTAGTAAACCTGGTAAAGAGAGAAGGTTGGGCGCATGGCTGTAAAACTGTAAAACAAAAAAAAACATCACCATCACTGCAACTTAAAGGCTCAAGTTTAAATTCCTGTTTCCTATTCATATCATACTAATTTTTGTAAATATACAACTTCAAAACATGAATTTTATTGTTCTCATCCTTCTTTCTCATCTTTCATAAGAGTAGGAGAGCTTTCCACATGTCTGCAACAAGTGCTGAATCATTCCTATTGTACGTATTCTCACTTATGGTAAATGAGAAGTAAGAAAAGTGAACCTATAAAAATCAGGTTTCAAAGTTGTTTAGTTATATGTGTGATAATATAATTATCAACAATGAATTTTGTTCAAAACTATGCTATCCAGTAAATAATAATACTGTTCCACTGAGTTTGTGATATATCTAATTGATAAATTCATATGGAATTGGCAGAGGTTAGAATTTATGGGCCATTGGATCAGGGGTCCCAGTGGTATACGAGCTAGCTCGCCTTGTAACCAGAATGTCCTGGATTCGAACCCCGGTGGGTGAGTACTGCTGAAGAGTCCCAGACTAGGACGAAATAGCTGTCCAGTACTCCCAGCTGGTTTTCCAATGGTTCTCTAACTAATGTCAGCTCATGATGAAATTCTATAATCATATAGAATTACTTAAAACCATAGAGTCATTCAAAAGGAATAGCGGGGCTTTTTGTAATCTAAAGCCCCAAAACTCGACTCCACTGTGACATAGATCGGATCGAGTTGTACAGTGGCTGTTTTCATAATTAGCACTTTCTTGGATGATATATGAATGAATGAGTGATAAAGTCAACCTTCAGATCCAGTTTTATTCTCATCGCCAACAACAACAAAACAAAACTTAACACTATACCATTCTACCTCATTCTTCTTTCATACTTTTTTTCTCTTTCTGTGTTTTTTTTTGTTCATCTTATAGAAATCAATAAAAGTTTTGCTATCCTCCCATTGGTTCATGTTACACCAGAGTGTTCTTTATTGAATGCATCAAAAATGCTGTTACAATATCGATTTCATCGATTGCCTATTATTGATATGATTCAAGGGAATGCATTGCATATATTAACGCATAAACGAATCCTTAAGTATTTACACTTAAATGTAAGTTTGTTTGTTTGTTAATTTTTTTTTATTAGAACAAAATAAGGTGAAACATTATTATTATTATATCCTTTAATTCCTAGAGGAACATAGGGCTTCAGCCACATGCCTCCATTGCGTTCGGTTTTCTGTCAACTTTTTCACCCCGTTCCAAGTCTACCCACATGCTTTCATCTCCTCCTTACATGACCTCCTCCAAGTGAAACTCACACTGACGATCAACTCGCCACTTCCCTATCGGGTTCCATTCGAGCAGTGGCTTGTCTAATGATGTCACTTGATGTTTTCCTCAGAGTATGGCCAATCCATCTGATCTTGAGAAGAATTGAGCGAAGATAACTGTTAATGAAGGTCTGAAGTTTGTTTGAGATGCTCTTTATGACGCGCTGGCTATGTCTCTGATCCGTATAGTAGCACTGACTTCACATTGGAGTTGAAAATCCGGATCTCATTTTTGATTATGAGTGCTGTTGACTTCCACACAGACTTAAGAGTAATGAAAGCTTGTCTTGCTTTTCCGATCCTTACTTTGATATCGTCGTCAGTTTCGTCCTCCTGTAGTTGAAACGATGCTTCCCAGGTAGGTGGAGGAAGTTGTTTCTTTCAGGTTCCTCCCATTTATACTGGCTGATTGTTGTCTGTTGTTGTTGTTGTGGCTGTTGGTGTTGGCCAAGAATCTTCATCACCTCTGTTTTATCTATGTTCACTTGAAGTCCTATCTTTGGTGCTTCTTCTGCCAGCTTGTTGCTTTTCACTTGCATATCTTCCAGTTTGTGAGAAATCAGACATATATCATCGGCGAAGTCCAGATCCTCCAAGTTTTCTGTGTGAGTCCATTTTATGCCTGTTTCCTCATTGTCCGTTGCCTGTCGCATTATCCAATCTACTGCAATCAGGAAAATCATTGGCGATAGTAGGCAGCCAGCTTGTTTTACTCCCGTCTTTACTTCAAAGGATTCCGTAAGTTTCCCGTTGTGGATTACTTGGCATGCAGCATTGTCGTATGACTGTTGGATGAGATGTATATTTGTCGATGGCACCCTGTAGTAGTATAAGTACTGTTTTTGGAATAAAGTAAATTATTATTATTATTATAAGTCTCAAACAAGAACGAAACAGCTGTTGTTCAGCACTCCCCACTGGTTTTCAATAGTTCTCTAATTCAAGTTACTTCATGATCACTCATGAAAGTGAAAAATCTCTTAACCCACCCCCCTTATCTACCTACTTAAATTTTTTTACCACATCATTTCTATACCATTTCTGTTTTACTCAATATTTTAATTAGATTCTTAACAATTTTTTTTTCTATACAGAGACATCATTTACCTACAGCAAAGTTTATGTATAAAAGTTTAAGAGAACTTAAACTAGGAACTTATTTGCCAAATGTTCATTCGATTACAAAAACTACAACTATTATTGAAGCATTGAGAATATTTCTGAAAAAAAAGGTATCGTGTTTACCAATAGTTGATGAAAATGGTCAACTTATTGAACTATATGCTAAATTTGATGTGATTGTAAGTTCTAATTTTGGAATAAAAATCTTGTTGTAAACATATACTACTATTAATTATGTGTAAGTAGTGTAATTCAACCAACGAAAATTAAATATGCATATGTTGGATTTGATTGATTCCATGGTTTGATCAAAGACTAACTTGAGTTAGCAAATCATCAGGGAGTACTGGAATACTGCTGTTTAGTCCTTTTTTATGACTATTCATCAGTACTCACACATGGTTCCAGAACCTTCGGGTTACATACAATATAAGCTACTGAGATGGAATCCCATGGCACATCAATACTTGTCTAATTGATGACACTTAAAGTGATACCTTCAATACAAAACCTGATATTTTACCTTCAGTTCTAATAAGTTAATCAGCGAGTGCTCCCAACTCCACTTCAGCTTATTGTATCAAAGTGAAGTGTTTCTGTCGCTGAAATTTCTAGTAGAATTGTGTTATATGTTGTTGGGATTGACGGAAACTGTGAGTGAGTTGCCTACATGGCATGTTGACCTAGTCGGAATACAGTACTGCGTACATGCTGGTCTCAAGCGTGTTTATGTTTCAGACGAACTATTGTTACTACAAGAGGGGAGGAATAATGGGCCGTTTTTTTAAAAGCTGTTCTTCCTGTTCTTGTTAACATAGATTAATTTTAAATAGATTTGATTGGTGTAGCTCTGGTCACGTTGAGTTTCATCTTATAGATATTTGAAGCTGACGAAATTAGTTTCAACCCTGATGTGTTTGATTTGCTGATGAATAGTTCACTATATTACTACAAGACTAGATTAGTTAGCATTTATTGACAAATTTATGAATTGAATACGACTCATGATAAATTCTCTAGCTGCAACACTGAATGAGATAGAATATATATGTCGTTTAATCTTAAACAGAAGTGTAATATCTGATGAGATTGTGGAAAATGTCTACTGTGTGCTGCCAGATACCTACTAGATTCAGGAGAACTTCTATTCATCAAAATGCTTCAACTCTTCGGTATTGCTTAGTGTTTTAATCAATGTAATTATATCAAATGACCACTACATGAACTTGCGCGCATGTTTGACTAGCTTACACCTAAGAGCTGTCCAATTCTTAAAAGAAATGAAGGAAAAAAGGTGAATGGAATTGGTTCTCTCTTCATATTCAGCGACGTTACATAAAACACAGTATACTCCAGATTATTACTTTACGTGTACATCCTCTGTGAAGGGGGGAATATTTCGGAATTAAATACGCCAAAAATATCTCCACTATATGTCCATAAATTATCTAGAATGAAGCTTTATTATTATTATTTTTAATTATTAAATATTGTCGATCAAATCAAGGTCGAAATTGGCAAATTAATTCATGATTCGCAATTTACACAGCTCGAGGTCAAATTCCAACCATCATCCCCTAAGTTTCCTGTGGTCTCCAACTGTTCATGTCAACCAATCAATCAATAGTACACATAATTATGCATCTATGCTTCCTTTCTTGATCGCCATTTATAGGAGGAAGCAGATCACATATTTTGTGATCTAAATAATCTTGGTTTTCAAAAGAAACTGTGGGGATAACTACTTGGACTGACTCGGCTTCCTAAGGTCAGGCATACTGGGTACACCGTTGATGAGCTTAGTCCCAAATGAGAGAAACGGTTTTCCACTGTTAAGATCACTTCTATAATCTAACTAGCAAACACTACTGGTTGGTGTTTATCATTATTAATATTTATATTATTTTTTTTAATTCCTAGAGGAACATAGGGCTTCAGCTGCACATCTCCATTGTGTTCGGTTCTCTGCCAACGTTTTCACCTGACTCCAGGTCTACCCACATGCTTTCATCTCCTCCTTACATGACCTCCTCCAAGTCACCCTTGCACTGACGACCAACTCGCCACCTCCTTTTCGGGTATAAGTGGTATCTAAATAATCATATCAGTATTTTTTTATTACTTTACGTCCCCAGTGGAACATGGGGGACTTCAAGCTACAGGCTCACTCCTTACCACTCTTATTACTGGTTTGGCGAGGTGAAGGAATGTGTCGGTGGCCAGGGATCGAACCCCGGATCACATGCGTGGTCGGCGACAATTCTACCTTTGTGCCACCGACGCACAATCAGTCAGGAGTATATAGACAGCACTGTGCATAATACTGACGACTGAATTTTATTATAAAGGGTACGGAAGTATATCACAGTGTATCAAAGTATTATAGCTTCAGTTTTATTTACTGACGATGTTGTGCACCTGATCGATAGATTGTATGCTTATTAATGAAGGCACTTCTTAGCAACCTTTTATAACTGACTGAGATCCAGTCATTATAACCTTAACCTTTATTCTTTCTTTCTTTCTCTTGCATAGAATTTAGCTGTAACTCTAACATATAACAATCTTGATATTCCTGTATATGATGCACTTGAATTTCGTAGATCAAACAGAGATGTAAGTTTGAAATTCTTGATTTATGCCAGTGATCCTCCGTTTATATCACCTCATTTATGACAATATTGGCTCCTTGAACAGCCACCTTGAGGTTACTTGTATCATGGAAGCTAGCAGCCGAATTCAGAGCGTTGGTCTCATCTTATTCAACACTAGTCATATCGATATACGTGCTCCCAAATGAGTGATGATGTTCTCATCGAGACTTGAACGTGATGTTGCAGTGGATATTGCTTTGGTATTTGAAGAGATGAATTCTAGGTTCACCTCTCACTAAGACACAGGTACAAATAGATGACGAGTCCCGAATAGGATGAAATGTGCAACCTGGATTCCACTACCAGCCTCCATGAAAAGAAATAACTTTAAGATATAAGTTATTGTAAGATAGAAAATCTTACCACGTATATTATTTATGATGACCTAAGTCTTATGAAGTTAACGTATGAAACACAACTTAGAAAAGTTAGAACCGTAATACGCATAATTAACAGCCAGGTAAAATGCTTACGTACACCTACTGATCGATACAGTTACTTACAATGCAGATTACTAAAATACACCACTGAAACGCCTATAAAGAAATGTTAAAAACTTCCTCTTTCCAGAAAAGACTTCTACTGATAGTGTTCTCCGAAATGAGAATAAAAGCTATACAATTCAATCATCCAGATTTTATTATCATTATTATTATTATTATTCTCTTAGGTTCCGAGTAGAACACAGAGGGCTTCAATAGTACATAACCGTTTCTCTCTGTTCTCTGTAGTCCTTTTTAGTTAGTTCCATGCCTGACCACGAGCTTTCATATCTTCCTCCTCACACGCGATCTCCTCCATGTCACTCTAGGCGCCACACCAAAATTGTTGTTTCCCAGTGTGGTTCCGCTTGGGAGCTTGGCGCGTGGTACCACTCAACAGTGTCCAACCCATCTCCATGTTCTTCGTCATAATTCGTGGGCATTAGGTTTTTTGCCTGCTGGAGAGCTCCTTGTTGTTAATATTTTCTGATCATCTGATCTCTTCAGTGCGGAGCGAAGGAAGCTGTTGATAAAAGTCTGTAGAGTAGCCAGTTGGAGAGGCTTTTCATGACGAGCTCATCAAGTCTACGAAATATAAACAGAATCACTGATATTACATTAGTATTGAAAATCCAATTCTTGTCTTTTTATGTGTTTTTTATGTACAGCATATTTCTACATTGATTTCAGATTAGCAGTGGGTTTGTCTTGTATTCCTGATTCTGGATATATGACATCTCCATCCATACCACCTTTAGTTGAAATGATGCTGCCCAAAATAAAGTGAAAGAAGTACCTTCCTTCAAAATTTCTTCCGTTGACGGTGATTGATGCTTGTTGTTGTTATTGTTAGTTAAGTATCTTCATCATCTCTCTCTGTCTTCTTTATGTTCACTTGAAGTCCTATCTTTTGTGATTCTTTCGCCAATAGAACTTCTAGTTTGTGTGACACTACACATAAATCGTCCCTGAAGTCCAGATCTCCTAAAGTCTTCTTGCCATCAAGAATATTCCTGTCTACAGCATAATCCAGTCCACTACAGTGAGAAATATGATCGGTGATCGTAGGCAGTCTTGTCTTACTCCCACATATATGGAGAGACAGAGAGAGCGGGGGGAGGGGGCGGAGGAAGAGATTCATTCCATTTCCTTTTGTCTACTTTTATGTGTGTTTTTCTAAATTATAACGAATTGAAATCATGAACTTTGGTGTACTGTTCTACGTTGATGATTCAATCGGTCATTGAAAGTTTAGCCATATTGTAATCATTATTATTATTGTCATTATTTTTTTACGAGTTGATATCAGTTAGAGAACCATTGAAAACCAGTACTAGAGGTACTGGACAGTTGCTGTTTGATCCTAGTTTGGAAATGATCGAAAGTACGCCCCCATTGGGATTCGAACCCAGGACCTTCCGGTTACAAGGCACCGGAACCCGATTCAATGGCTCGTGAATTCTAACTTATACCAATTCGTGATTTAGCGCGACCTCAACCATTGTCGTTGGTGGGACATCCATCCACACACGTGAAATCTAATTGAACCTCACTGGTCACAACTTCTCACTAGAACTCAGGAAACTCCAACATGTAGTAAGTCACTAGCGAGCCGATGATTCCCAAACTAGGATGAAACAGAAGCTGTCCAGTACTCCCTGGTTTTCAGTGATTCTCTAACTGATATCAACCCGTGATCAACTCGTAAAAACATTACTAACCCTTACAAACCAAACTATAGAAAATTATTATTATTATTATTAACTCCCTTTACTTTTCATGACAGCGTTATCCACCTCCCCTAACATGTTTAAAATCGGATGAACTACAAAATGTTATGGTGAAAATTATTGAATCCGGTGTAAGTGTATATTGATTTGTTTAAAAAAATTACCTTTAAATGTTATTCAATATATATATATATATATATATATATATATATATATCGACAACTGAGGTAAGAGAGTTTATTTTTAAACAGTTAGTATCATCTGGACCGACGTGAAGAACCTAGAAGACCTGGATTTCGCGAGTGGATGATTTATGTTTGATGTCACACAAAACCGAAGACTTACAATTGAAAACCGACCGATAAACTGGTCGAAGAAGCATCCAGGGAAGATAGGACTCCAGGTGAACATAGACAAGACGGAGGTTATGAAAATAACCAACAACAACAGCAGCAGCAGCAGCAACATCAAACGCCAATCACTATCAACGGGAGGGATTTGAAAGAAGTCACTTCATTCACTTGTCTCGGGAGCATTGTCTCAACTACAGGAAGTCGGAATGGACGAGGATGTCAAATCGAGCGAGAATCAGGAAGGCGAGAAACATTCATCAACCTGAAACAACCAATCTGGAAATCTTCGTCACTCAGCCAACATCAACAACAAAATTCGGTAGGATTTTCAATACAAACAACGTCAAGTCAGTCAGTTCTTCTATGCGGACCAAAAACTTGGCGGGCGGGTCACAAAGAATATTTCCAACAGCCTGTTGCAGACCAGACCTTTATCAAACAACAACTGTCTTCGCTGGCTCTATACTGAAGATCAGATGGCCGGGGGGCCAGAAAGAATCACCAACAAGAAACTATGGCTAGGAACAAACAAGCAAACAAAAGAAGAACCAATCACCTACCAACAAATATGCAGGAGAAAGTGGAGATAGATTGGACACTCGCTGAGGAGGCCGCCTCTGGGTGACATCGCGCGCGCGTCAGGCCATTGCTCCAGTGGAACCAGGCCGAAAGGGAAGCACGCGGCGAGTGGGACGTCAGTCGAAGGGTGACATGGAGGAGATGATGTGAAGAGGAGGAGTTGAAAGAGTATGGACTAACATGGATTCAGGTGAAAAGTACAGCAGCAGAAGACAGAAGTGGCAAGTGGAGACGTGCAGTTGAAGCCCTATGTTCCACTAGGAACCCAAAGGAACAATAATATAATAATAATAAATACCGTCTGATTCTCTGATCAGGTCCCGCAGCTTTTCAACTGTAGAATTGTTTTAAATATTTCACTTGAGGATTACTACGATTCTGCATCATTTCACATCCATAATGATTCCAGCCGAGATTAAAGACACAGCAGTAAGTTTACATCCTAATGACTTTATTATTTTACCGCAGTGAAGGAATCCAATGACCTATGAATCTTATATTCTGCCAGTATCATCAATGAGTATCTTTCTTCATACACTCAACCTGGTGAAGAACCCCATCGGTGACAACTACTCACCACAACTCCAGGAAATTTCATCCCAAAGTCAGTCAGTAATGTGATATAGGTTAGCGAAGAATATTCTTTTCGTAGCTTCACTTCAAACTTGTGAAAGGTCAAGAGAGTCGGCTGCAAACCGATTCTGCATATATATATATATATATATATATATATATATATATATATATATATATATACAATGCAGGGTTTCACTCGTGCATAACAAGAGCTTCTAATGCTGGAAACCCTTTGAACTATTTGCTTTTACCTTATGTATCACTTTGAAATGATTTTTCTATTGTTGTGGATCGATTTATAAGAACATAGTGTTCAATAATTGAACTACTGGTCTGTCATACTTCTCCTTCTGTACAAGTTTAGACAGTATCCTACGGGTACAGCTTATCTCCTTAGCCCCTCTACACATGAACAAGTGAATTGATATATGCATTTGTGAATGTTGTCAATAGTGGGAAATTGTATGTGACATTTCGACAAATATCTGGGTTGTGTCGAGAAGGTCAGATATGAAGATTCAGTGAATAAGGTGTTTTCTGAACTACTTTCGAAGGAATTCAACTGTTGTGTCACCATCTGAATTTCAGGTTTACCGCTAAGCTTTTCTTTGATACTTCTGTCTTTTGTAGATTATCTATCTTAAGTTTCATCAGTTTATTGATGAATGCCAGTGGATAGCCATCCTTAATTACAGTATTGCAGAAAAACTCCATTTATCATCCATTTAGTGTATCTTCAGTCTACACGGGGGACAATATTAATCACTCGCCTGTTCTAAAACACAGTCAGCCAATAATCTAAAGCGGATAAACTTTCAGGTATTGATTTGTAGACATACGTTTCATGTTTGATCACAGATAGACATCAGTTAGAGAACCACTGAAAACCAGTAGGGAGTTCTGAGCAACTGTTTCGTCCTAGTCTGGGACTCACTGGCAATACGACCCCACTGGGTTTCGAACCCTGAGCTCTCCGGTCCCTGCAAAAAAGCCCCCGAAAATTAATCCGACACTCGCTGGTAACTGGTTGGCTACAGAATGAAGTCGTCTGAAGTTCTGGTAAGTAGTCGTAATCAGTGGGGTCCATGCGATCAGGAGTGAGGATGGAGTTCCCACTGATGACACTGGTTGATGGTCACGCTAAAATCATGAATTGGTAGAAATCATAATTCATGAGTTGGCCATCGAATCGGATCCCAGTGGCTGAATGGTATACAAACTCACCTTGTAACCGGAAGGTCCTGGGTTGGAAACCCGGTGGGTGCGTACTGCCAATGAGTCTCAGACCTGGACGAAACAGATGTCCAGAACTCCCTGTGGCTGGTTTTTAATGAACCTCTAACTGATATCAATCCGCGATCAAACTAGACACAAATCAAATACCTAAATACAAACTCCTGTGAAGATTTGATTAATTTCAAAACTGGGAAGAAACAGATGTTTATATTCAAGTGTTAGTTTGTAGGGATTTGGTTGGTTACAGGATTTCATCATAAGCTGACATTAGTTAGAGAACCATTGGAAAACCAGCTGGGAGTACTGGACAGCTGTTTCATCCTAGTTTAGGACTCTTCATCAGTACTCATCCATTGGGATTCGAACCCAGGACCTTCTGGTTACAAGGCGAGCTCGTATACCATTAAGCCACTGGGACCCTATTCAATGGCCACCCCATGAATTCTAAATTCTGCCAATTCACGACATAGCGCGACCACTAGCCAATATCACTAGCGACTTCCCCTATTCAGGTAGTTATTTACCTGGGGTTCTAGTGAGAAGTCGTGACCATTAGGGTGCAGGAGGTCGGGTGTGAGGACAAATACTCGCTGAAGACATTGGCTAATGGTCGCGCTATGTTGTGAATTGTCAGAAGTTGGAATTCATGGGCCATTGGATCAGGGGTCCCAGTGGCTTAATGGTATACGAGCTACCTCGCCTTATAACCGGAAGACCCTGGGTTCGAATCCCTTGTATTGGGTGCGTACTGCTGAAGAGTCCTGAACTGGGACGAAATAGCTGTCCAGTACTCCCAGCTGGTTTTCCAATGGTTTTCTAACTAATGTCAGCTTATGATGAAATCCTGTAACCAGTCAAACAAATTCCTACAAACCAACACTTGAGAAACAGATGTGCAGGTAACAATGTTTTCCTAACTAGCCTATTCAAATGTATGGGAATAAAAATGTCCAAAATTTTAGCTGACTCATGGTTATCTATTCAAGTGAATGAATAGCTTGGAACTTGCCTTATATAATTCAATCAAATTACACTCGAATGAGTGAATTCAAAATTATACACCTGACAATAATAATCTCTTATCCTATTGCTATCTATGGCTTAACAACAGCCTTTAAATAACTGACGGTATAGACAAGCCCCTTTCTTATTCTCATATCATGTCAGTTATGCTCTGGTTCTCATATTTTATTTCCTCATACGACTAAAAATCACATTAACACACGTTGGATACAGAAAAGGCAATAAACTTCATCTTAAGTAAAGCTATTCATCTATACTCACTCACCTGCATTAACCAAAGGTATCCGTTGAAGATCTAAAAATAGGCAGATTAGTGAACAAAGTAAGTATTATTCTTTTCGTCGAATTCATCACCAGGTTCTACAGTTATCTGTCCACAATAGTTAAAGAATTATTGTTATTATTAACAACATTTATGCTTTGTTTAAATAACCTCTAATGGGTACGATCAATAGATTACAATTCAAAATCATCAGTAAGCGATAATATGCATCAAAATACAACAATAACAACATTGAATATGAAATAAATTAAAGAAAATGTAATATAGAATGCATGAATTTATAGGTTCAATAACAGGCCAGAGTTAGCAGTAGTGTCTGAAACTGTTTCTTTTGCACACAGAACTCCGGTTGTTTCAAGCGAAATACTATTGCCTCTGCTGTCTGGAGGCCTTTGGCAATTTATTCGGTACCGGATAGATGGTAGGAAAAAGACTCCTGAATATCAGCTGTGTGGCCTGTTTCGACGAGGTGATCCAATATAGAAGTCTTCAGTATTGGGGACCCACCCGGGTTTGACTACAGGGCCTTCCAGTCATAGGGCGAGCTCATATACCATTCAACCACTGGGACCCGACTCAATTGCCAGCCCTTGAATACCACCTTCTACCAACTTGCGATTTTAGCGGAACTGTAACCAGCCGATGTCATCGGTGGGAACTCCATCCTCACTCCCGATCGCATAGATCCCACTGGTCATGACTTCTCACTAGAACTTGAGACAACTTCGTCCTGTAGCCAGTAGAGTTCACCCAGTCGAGAGTGAGGATGGAGTTCCAGCTGATGACATTGGTTGGTGGAGACGCTAAAATAACAAATCGGTAGAAGTTAAAATTCATGGGCTATTGGATGGTATACGAGCTCACCTTGTAACCGGAAGGTCCTGGGTTCGAAACCCAGTTGGTGCGTACTGTCGATGAGTTTCAGACTAGGACGAAACAGCTAACCAATACTCCCTGTGGCTGGCTTACAATGGTTCTCTAGCTGATGTCAATCCATGATCTAACCTAAAACAAATAGGATTCTTACAGACTAACTCTTGAAAATCTGAACGCTGTTCAGAATTTTGAATTCAGATTTTTT